AGAAAACACTTACTTTTCACTGCTTCTTTAACCTTTTCAATGAAGTCTTTTTTTGTCTTGACACCTCGAACTTCTACCCGTGCCATCTGTTTTCACTTCTAACTCAATCAGCATATCATAGTTGGAAGTACATTAAAAATGAAGTCTTGATGAGAAAAAAATAGAATTTTCAAAATAGAATTAATGGCTTGTAAGATAAATATATTTAAAGTATAATGTTGTAATGGAGAAAGAAATGAAAGTAGAATGGTATAATACACAAATAAATTAAAGTATGTTGCTATGATTTGCATTTAGCCCTAAACTGAAAAGAACAAAACACAAATGTTTTATGTATATCATATGAAGAAGGTGAGGGATTTTAGAACCTGGAGTCCTCCAAAAAGCAAATGGACATGAGAATCAATAAATCCAGGAACAACAACTTTTCCCTCAAGATTTAACTCTTTTGTTCCATATCCAGACATTTCCTGCATTTGCATATAGTTTACAGTTTACACAAAGCCTTGAAAAACAGAATGCTCAGATAGTCGTCTTCAATGCTAAATAGTGTTTTTCTTGCTAATCTTTTTCCATATTCTGGAGTAGTTGTGAAATTAATTCACAACGTTTCATATTTTAGAAGCACCACAGTTGATGCTGAAAACAAAGTATTTGGCAATTTGACTATATCTTACCCGAACAAACGAATAGTTGCCAATACGGATTATTCTCCCGTCACGAATAACCATGGAATTAGCAAAAGTGAGAGAGGAATCGCTGGTGTATATCGTCCCATTCGTCACCAACAGGTCAGCATCAGCAATTCCTGAAGAGAAGGATGATTTCGATGATAACCACCATAATCGGTTGCTCCAGCTGGATTCATCTGCAAGAATTTGAATTGTTGATGAAATGAATTGAGGTGGATATAAGTGATTAAATTGAAGATTGGAAGGAAGGATGTTTGGTTAACTGTGATTATTGTGGAGATGAAGTGACAGTAGGAGGGAGAGAAGAAGAACGAGTGAAGTTGAGACGAGGACACGAGTATTCATGGCGAGAGAATCTTTTTAGTCGATGATTGTGGTGGAATCTTGTCGTGCCATTCTGCCAAGGTTTGAAAGATTCAGAGAAATATCGGTTCCAATCGGGTACCTTTTAGGATAATGACTTAAAAGGGTAATTTATTTCGGATTTGTACAAATTTAGTAATTGAGTTTTTTTTGTCCATATTTTCCTATTGAACTTGTTGAACTGTTCAAAAAACATCCTTATGACCTACTATCAGAGGTATAGCCGGTTTCCGGCGTCTTTGACAACTCCGGCGATCATCTTCTCAGGCGAAACATTATTTTTCCGGCGACAAGTAAAAACCCATTTTTTTTCCTGAAATCACACACATGATATTCTGGATTCGTGTTTATCTAATACATATACAGATTTGTAAAACAAGTCCATCCATGACAGATCTAGCAAAACACAAAATCAATGTAATGATTTTTAATTTCTGAAAACAGGGGTTGCAATTTCTGATCTAACACACACACACACAAACTTGAATCTGAAGAAGCTCTCAAGAACACAATGAACAAACCTTAATGAACCAGACAAAGATTTGAAGAACATCATGAACAAACTCACCAGAATAAGCCTAGATTTCGAGTTTATATATGAAGAATCCACCTGAAAGTCGAATTCTTTCCAGATTATGCTCACAAACTCAGCCCTTCAGGTAAGTTATTTTTCAGAAATCGATTTTTTTTAAAAAAAAAAAAACCCACCTGAAACCCTAGATTTCGAGTTCACTTTCAGATGTGGAAATCGATTTAGTAGTTTTTAAATTCTAACATAGATGAAAATGAATACACATACACATACCTTCGATCTGTTTAAACACGAACTCAAGGGTTTTCATGACGGGTTTTGAGCACATATCTTGAAAATCGATTTCTGGGTTTGAGTGTGTTCAAGAACTCGTCATACCTTCAAGCTCGATTTGAGTGTGTTCATCTTCAAGGAACTCAAAACACACCAAATCGATTTCTTCTTTGTTCTTGGAAATCGATTTCTGGGTTAAAAACCCCAACTCGACTTAAGGTTGTTCTTGAGTTCGATTTTTGGTCTTTGTGTTTCTGGAAAACACACACAGAACAATAAGTATGGTTTTATGTTTGTGTTGAAGATCGTGTGTATGTTCATCTGACCTAGTGTTCTTGAGTTTGAAGAAACAACTAATATGGGGTTCTTGTGTTCATCTGATCTGGAGTTTTTGTGTTTATCTAATTCAAAATGATATTTGAAGAAATAACTTACAAAAAAAGATGCAGATGAAGAATGACTTAAAGGGAGAAAATGAGTTTTCACTTGTAGCCGGAAAAATAATATTTCGCCGGAGAAGATGAACGGAGCATCTCCGGAGTTGTCAGATATGTCGGAAACCGGCTATACCTCCTATAGCAGGTCATAAGGGTATTTTTTTAAACGGTTCAAAAAATTCAATGGGAAAATATGAACAAAAAAAAACTCAGTGACTAAATTTGTACAAATCAAGAAATAAGTTACCCTTTTAAGTCATTATCCCCTTACTTTATATTAAAACTTAGACTAAACTGCACATGGTTTCTCTGGTTTGCTCAAAATTGTCACTTTGGTCCAAAAATGTTTGGACTAGCATCAGAGATCTAAAGTTTTCATTTTGTTGTTTGTTTGGTCCAATCTGTTCTGTTTTTTTTCAAAATGACGGATTTTTCCCTGTTTATATGATTTTCTCTTTTTTCTTATTTGTTTTTCTGGTTTTTAGATTTAAAAAAAATAAAAAATAAAAATAAATCTCTCTCTCTTAAAATAATAAAAAATAAAAATCTCTCTCTCTCTCTCTCTCTCTCTCTTCATTTGTTCTTCATGGTTCTCAAGAACCCCTCATCGTCGAATCCACCACCGTCCATCTTCAGCCACCCCCCATCCTCACTCCCTTCATAATCCGAACATGGACCCAACACCGTTTTACCACCCTCACCATTCATCACCTTCACCAACCTTCAACCTCAACTGAACCTTTCATCATCTATCACCACCCTCATTTATCCATCACAGCCTACACTACCCACCATCCTCACTCCCTTTCATCATCCATCAACACAAAATGATCGCCAAACCACCAGCAACACCAAATTTGCCAAAAAATAAGAAAAAGAAATTAACCAGCGGATATGTTCGTCACCTGATCTGTTCGTCACCCT